TGTTTGAGAGAGAGGGGGGAGAGGAGGGTGTGTGTGTGTGTGTGTGTGTGTGTGTGTGTGTGTGTGTGTGTGTGTGTGTGTGTGTGTGTGTGTGTGTGTGTGTGTGTGTGTGTGTGTGTGTGTGTGTGTGTGTGTGTGTGTGTGTGTGTGTGTGGACCGAGGGTGTGGGTGATGGTTAGGGATATCAAGCTTTCACAGGCGAGATTTTTGAATTTACGAGGTGTCCTTTCTGGAAATCAGTGAAGAATAAAGATAAAGATGTTATTTGTATGTTGTTAGGGGTTTGATCAGAGAGATGTTTCAGTGGGGCATTTTAGGGTGAATGAGCTCTGCTGCTCTCCTGAACTCCTGAGCTCCTTATCTAGTGTTTGGGGTGTTTAGACAGTGTGTTTTCACGACTGAGACCAGGCGGAAAAAGAGCCGGGGACCAGCGGAGGCTCTTAATAGGTTTACCTCGCCCTATTGAATCCAGCGGAGCGGCACAGACCAGATAGCCACAGCCATCTCTGCCTTTCCCTCTCTTTCTTTTTCTTGTGCTCTTTTTCTTCTCCTTTCTTCCTGCCTGAGAGGTGCGGAGAGGGGAGGAGAATCAGGGTGTAATTGGTGAACGGGGTTAAGTACATGTTTGAGCCCCCTGCGGGCCAGGGCGCTTCAGATGATGACTTAATCGTTTTTCTGGTCAATTATGTGTTTCCTCTCTTTCCACTCTCAGGGTTATGATAGGGGGAGGTCTGCTCCCAGTGGGGAGGATGAACCACACACACTCTCACACACTCCCCCCCCTCCTCCTCCTTGCTAGCTGTCTTACTTAATGTCTCTATTATCTTCCCTCGATCCACGACCTGTGATCTTCCTTGCTTTCGTCTGTTATCTCCCTCTCTCTCGGTTTCTTTTAAGTTAACACCTCACGTCTCGACTCCCTGATGTGAAATGGCACACTGTCACCCTTACACTCCTTCTCAAATCCAATGGCTTAATAAGGTTGATCTGATAGTCTCTGCCCTACACTGCTTGCATTAAGAACATGTACAGATCTCTTCTCAACTTTTCAGCAATACTGACTTCTCCTCTCTCGTTACAGTTCAACCGCTGCATCACCTCTCAGCTGATCAAGTGGTTCAGCAACTTCAGGGAGTTCTACTACATCCAGATGGAGAAGTTTGCCCGCCAGTCCATCAACGATGGAGTAACCGGAACTGAGGAGTTGGGCGTCAGCCGCGACAACGAACTCTTCCGAGCCCTCAACATGCACTACAACAAGGCCAACGACTTTGAGGTACGCACCAACGCTTTCAGCAGATCATGCAGAAACAGAATTGTTGTATGAGAGAAGGAGCTGAGGTAATGAGGTCCACATCAGAAAACCTGACACCTCATGGATGCAGACGGGCAGGGTGATACTGTCTCTCTGTGTCCTCTCTGACACAACCTTGCTGTCGCTATTCTCAATGCTGCGTTTAAGCCTTTTATACTTCCTGATACACACTTCACTATCTTTTACCTCCTTGTTGTCTGGTCCAAAACTATTCTAGAACACCTTATTACCAGCTTTTAACTTAATCTCTATCAAACGTCTGTTGGGTTTTCACTTGACAGCAATACAAATATTTCATTTTTTTCTAAAGCGTGCATCACAGATAATCTATACAACTATGTGAGGAACTCTCATCCAATGAGGAAGAAAGCTTACCAACACCTCGCTTGTTTTACCTCTTCCTCACTGTTAATTTCCCCTCAGTGTTCCTTGTGTGTGTGTGTGTGTGTGTGTGTGTGTGTGTGTGTGTGTGTGTGTGTGTGTGTGTGGTGTGTGTGTGTGTGTGTGTGTGTGTGTGTGTGTGTGTGTGTGGTGTGTTTTTGAGAAATCGCATTGTACTTCCCCATCCTCATTTACCTATCTGTGGTGAGATGTTTATGTGTGTGTCTTCCAGTGTATTGTGATCATAAATTCTCAGCAGGCAACTTCACCTTTAATATGTTTCATTTCTCACACTTCCCCTTTGCCACGGTGTGTGTGTGTTTCAGGATCACCACTGCTCTCTCAATGTCAGCTGACAATAGACCTTTAAAAGGCTTGTGTTAAGAAGGACCTGGAGTGGTGTGTGTGTGTGTGTGTGTGTGTGTGTGTGTGTGTGTGTGTGTGTGTGTGTGTGTGTGTGTGTGTGTTTGTTAGAGAGATCGAGTCCATGTGTGTAAGTGTTTTGTTGTTGCTGCATTTCCCAGTGTCCTGTTCACCTCGAAGGGTACAGCCGTCCCTTGGACCGGCCTGGCATGCTGGCAAAGCACTTCTCCGGTGTGTGTGTGTGTGTGTGTGTGTGTGTGTGTGTGTGTGTGTGTGTGTGTGTGTGTGTGTGTCACTTTGAGGGGGGAAAATCTCACTGTTATCAAGGTTAAGCGTCCTACTGTTTTAGTGAGAGGAAGGGGAGAGAAAGAGGGGGAGAGGGGGAAGAGGGAGATGGATAGATAGGGGATAGAGGGTGAGAGCTCGGAGACAAAGGAGAAAGCGATGAAGGGAGGGAGGGAGAAATGGAATCGAGGGGAATGGGAAGGGGAGAAAGAAGGGTAGAAGGAGAGAGGGGGGAAAAGAGAGATGACGTGCAGGAGAGAAGTGCCCTTGCGAGCAGTGGGAGTTTTGCAGCGCTCACATTTAAAGTGCTTCACTCTCTTTCTCTCTGTTTACGTCTATCTCTCTCTGTCCGTTATTTGTCCACTGGGGCTCCTCTGTGTGCACCCAAACACACACACACACACACACACACACACACACACACACACACACACACACACACACACACACACACACACACACACACACACTCCCCACATCCATCTTCAGCCCTCTTAAGGGAGGCTTTGAAAGACTCTGGCAAGCAGAGGCACTTGTACACATGAGGTCCCAACAACCCCAAAGTCCGTCAGAGCAAAGCACAAAGAAAAATGACACAATTGTTTCTGCTGAGCTGCTTGTGGCTGCTCATGAATGAATAATTTGTTTTAGTGACAGGGAAATATGTTTAAATCAATAAGAAAGTGACCCATCACCTACCCCTATATTTGGCCTACACTATTTTAGTGAAGTGCTGCAAAATTCTGATTTGTACACCAACAAAGATAGAAGCAAAGCACACTAAGAAAACCACCGTTAACAGTTAACAGTTCTAATCAATTAGGTGTTATACTTCCTTATGCTTATATCAAGGTGAATTCTTCTCTAGACTATTGTTTCTGTCTTCATATCAAAGGATGCTCTGCTTATTGTTAATCACCTGACACAACAGGAAATGGAGGTAATTAATATCGCGAAAACATGCAGCCTCACAAACCGGATTCCTGTCCTTGATGTTGGTGTTGTTTGACAGAAGAGAAGTTATCGACGTGTTTTAAGACATAGGTACTTTTTTTGATGCACCAAAAAGTTCAAATACCTTCATCTCATTAAATAAAAGTAAAACCTTCTTCAAACCGTAACCCAGATTCTATAAATATGCCCAAAAAATATATAATTATTGCTAGACACGTGATTAATCTTGCTTTATTAAAACGTCCATCAGTGTATGTATAGTAAAGACTTCAAGTTTCCACATCACAGTTATATTAAGTTACATTTTGGACAACAATTGGCTTAAAGACTAGTTGTAGTGGTGTTACTAAATCGAGTGTGTGCGTACACGTGCAACACCGAAAGAAAAACGTTCAAACTTCAGCGAAACGTTTTTTTTGTCTTTTATATTTTACTTTGTGTCTTAAAAGTCATAATTAAATGAACTACATTAGGGTTG